TGAGAAAGGCAAACTCAACAGATTATGTAAAGTAGACATATCTACCTTTCTCGGTGTAAAAAGAATCTTACGTCCTTAAAATTCCGTACTTCTTTACTTTTTTTGGAATATTCGACTGAAGGTCGAATATTTGGATATGGATGAATAGATGCGAACTGAACATAAAAACGTTCGCATAATGAGACTGTAATTTTCTCCAACTGACGTCTGAACTTTCTATGTGCTAGGTTCTATAAATAGCGAATAAAACAAGAAATAATGATGATTAAAGGCGAGCACAAGCAATAAGCGATGGGCAGTAAGAGATAAAAAGTTTCATTTTTATGCTGTAAATCACTTTGAAATAGCTTCTGACCATCCTTAACTCGCTATTGATAATACCGTATGGCGGAAATATATAGAGAAGGAATTTGGTGAAGTAATAGGACAAGTTAATTCATAATTGCAGCAATAAGATGCCGCAACGAAAGAGCTGATTGGTGAAATGTAATAAATTGTTTCTACAGCCACAATAATATCTGCTGAAAAGTCAGTATTTTAATCATCATCTTTCTCTTTTTTTCCTTTCTTTGTATCCCATGCACACAAATTATTATTATTTTTTTTGTATCCGCAATGCGCGCGTGAAAACAAGAATTTTTTTTGTAATTCTTCCTTGTATTACCCTTGCGCCCCTTACTCATTCCCTCCTTTAATGTAGTTTCTCTCTCGTTTTTCATTCTTTCAACCTCGCTGATAACAATCATCATTCGAAAATTTATTGTGTATTTTTGGGGGCTTTTTCTGCTCGATCTTCCTTTCTTTTCTCTTTTTTTTTAATACACACATACAGAATTGGAGCATTTTATGTCCGTAAAGTTGGTTTTTAAGCGCATTTTTGGTCCATTGTGAATTTAAAGAATTCTTGAAAAAATATTAAAATTTTCAGAACAATTATCTATGTTGTTTACATCATAGCCGTTAGGCGGAAATGCCATCATCCTTTGCCATTTAAAATAACATCTAAACCAGTTTAAACTAAGTTAATATAGGTTTACTCGTGTTTTGATGGATCCTTAAAAGACACAAAAGAGGCAAGGAGAAGAAGATGTCAAAATATCTTAAACATTTTTGATAGAAATAATTTCTAAACAACCTCAAGACTTCCTCAATAGAGCTGATTAACACAAGAACAAACTGAGAACAGCGGCGCCTTTTCATCTCATAAAATATGCTAAATATGTATTTATTGTAGAAGAAAAATCCAATGGACATAAATAATTTATTTCTTTTTGCTGCTGTTTTACTGCTTTTTCTACTGTATTCATTTTGGCACCGCATATAAAATTATATAAAAACCGAATGAGAGAATAAAGAAAGAAAAATTACTGGAAAAAGCAATAAATTATTTTAAAGTTGCTCAGTTGTTGAGTTAATTTTTATTTTATTGTCATGCATTAGACATTCTTATGGGAAAAAATTAAATAAATGTTAGAATTGGCAGGTTGAAATTCATTACAATATTATTCGTTGCCTGGTGAATTGAAATTAGTTCGGCAATGAAGAAAAGAAAAAGAAAAGGCAAAGTGAGAAATAATTAGAACTTTGAGGAGACTTAATTAGTTTCCTTCATACTGAATTAAGTCGATGATGTTGAATGTTAATGGAAATACGTAGAAATGAGTGCCATGAGGCTTGGAAACTTCTGTGATGTAAAAAAGTTTCGTGATTGATTTTTTTCTTTCTTGGTATAAAATTAGCTTTTGTAGGTATGTTTCTGAAAATGAAAGATTTTTGCTTAGTTCAGTCCATGAGCCTTTTTTCCATTTTAATTAAAAATATTTCCATAAAATTTTCCTCATCATAAAAAACCAAATTTAATGCCAAAAAGTCTCCAAACCTCAATATGTCAATTCCAGCTAATGAGTCTTGAGTACACTTTGTAAAAGATTTTAGCAAACAATTCATACTTCAGCAATCTAATGCTAGAAATTAAGTAAGCTATAAAAAGCTACTCAACTCAATTATGTAGTCAAGTCATAATACAGACTGTTCAACCTGATATTAATCCACCATACAATAAAAACATAATTCCTACGAAATTCTCAACAAAAAAAAAACATTTTTTCCATCAAAATAATTTTTTCCTTAGTCATTTCCATAATGATTTATGCGATGTAATTTCATGCCCTTCTTCACTTTCGCTAACATTTTTATTCTCACTTCTTCTTACACGAATTCGTATACATAATCGAAAAAACACCTATCGCTAAATCCATCTTAACAGCAGCGAGTGTTTTTTCATCAACAAGAAGTTAAAAAGCCAAAATTACCACAACTAGTCGTTGATGTCGTCGGCAATGTGAATGAATAAATGGATGAGAATTTTTTTTTTAAATTAAGGTTGTAAAAAATTGTGATTGTAAGAACTGGTAAGAACAATTGAAAGAGCGCATTAGATATTAAATGGTACCATAAAAGACTTAACTATAGTCAAAGGCTTCCCTATTATCACGAACTGTTTTAAAAGATACTCTAGAAATGCCAAGATTTCAACTCAAGTTTTTGATTGACGCCATTTATAAACAGCGCCATTTAATTGAATGAAACATTTAATCCAGTAGAAATTTAACCCTGCGGCATAATTTCACTAATGATTAATGACCACACTATGACATTTGAATGCGTTTATTTGCTCATCGCCAACACACACTTCTTGTTAAAATATTGACATAGGTGTCAAAATTATATATGATATGCTGATAAAAAAAATCTCATTACTCATTCAAATGTTGTTGCTACTTTCATATTAGTCTCCATAATTTGCAGGTGTTAAATAAGGTCAGGTGATAAATTTATCAAATTGAACATTAGGAAAACTTGGGGAATAATAAAAAAGCTTCAGAGTTTTGATTATTATGAAGCAAAGTCAATCGTGTGATAGAAAAAACATATGAGCATGCTAGCTTGCTCGAAATATAATTTTGGACATCCAATAATGAAGACATCACCTCAACTGGACAAACCACACCCAAATCCTCAAATCTTCAAAGAATTAAGCTAAAAAAGTAAAGGAAAAAGTATTTTCCACACCATGTGACGGCATGATAAGCCATTAATTCATTCCCTTCAGTCTCACTTTTTTAAATTTATTGCCATCATTGCTTTTCGCGCTATACATTGCTGTGTTTGAAAACTAAACTGCTGCCCGGTCTTATCAAAATAGATTTATTACCCTTACACATTTCATTTTCATTCCTCATTCTGCTTGAAAAGTCATTAAAGTTGAAAATTTAATTGTTTTTTATGCTGTACAGCCAAACATGTACGAAACAATTTCAAAATACTCTTATAAGTTGGTTGTTGTGTGTTGGCATTATCTATTGAGCGAAAATGAAATAATGGAAAATATATAAAGCATTAATTAAAATTCATGGATATAAATTTATGTAAGCACATTTGAATTTTAAAACAAAAAGAAAATGTTAAAAATAATTGTTGCCATTTTAAAGTCACGAGATAAAACTCTTTTCTTGGATATTTTTTTAAAATGCCATAAGAAAAGCCTTTAATGCTCTCTTTTTTTATTTTTTATTTCCTCCTATCTCATAAGACATAAAACATTTTAAGTGTCGCATTATTCATTTTGATGTGTTGTTGATGATGTTCTTTCCTACTTTCTTCCTTCTTTCTTATGTTACCGGTAGCGACAACGATAAATTGAAATTGTGCAACTGCTCAACTTTTTTTTTATTTCTTTCCATTCATTCTTCATTCCATTTTTACCTTAATTTCTGCTTTTCCTCAGGAATTTTAAAACTGTTTTGATGTCACAAGTAATGAAAGATAAGAAATTTAAATTGAAAGGTGAATTTTTTGAACATTTCTTTGAATTTTATACAAGCTTTAAAGGAAAATGCAGCTTGTAATGTTTGTAAAATTGTAAAACTGAATTGCTTTGGCTTCAATTACTTCTGCTCGATCGACTTGTTTGTTTTCTTGTTTTAAAGGTTAAAACTTTTGGCTTCAATTCTTTTGAATTATTTTTTTAAGGAAGTCCAATTGAAGATATTGATAATATTTCGAGTTTATTCAAAAGGGTCAATCACATGTGATGCCCGAAAAAACTTGATCTTTGTTAGCTTTTGAAGAACTTTGTGGCCTTCTGATGACATTCATCAATTCAAAGGCAGAAAAAGGTTTGACACAGGGTGTGAGAAAGGAGGGGATGTCACAGTGAAAATATACATTTTGAATCATTCCTAAGTTTGGGGCAATCAAAGATTCTTGAAATTCCCAAAAAAAAAACAATATACCTAAGATCAAAATGTTGCTTTCCCTGTAATGCTTTGGTTTCTTCCGAGCTTCTTCCCCTTGCTTCTGTTAAGTTGCAAGGTTAAGTTCTGTTAAGTTCTTAATAAATGAACGGCTTTAATGATCCATTGTAAGGAACTATGATAAACACTTAATTGTACTAGTTTTCAACCAGCTTGACCAAAACATGAAATTGTAAACCTTCCAAGCATCATAAAAAATTTATTTCCATAAAAATATTCTCTATAAAATATCAAAAAGAGTTCAACGCTTTTTTTTTCTATAAATTTTTAAAAAGATTGCATAAGTAAAGCTCTTGACTCCAAAGGATCCGGATGAATATTTGATGAAAATTTTTAGGATCCATGTTGTATTGGAAATCAGATATCTTGAATAAATTAAGATTGGGGAAAGATGGAAATTCAAGGAAGTTATTAAAGCAACTGAAACTGACCTTACAGCTTATCAAGGTCATTTGTTAGATAATTCAATTTATTTTGTGTGAATTATCAATTTACATCTTTATAGCCAAGATGAATTAAATTGACTGTAAAATTTCACCTAACAATTTGTGTACTTAAATTTTATCTCTCATTCGCACACGATGCTTCGTGCTCTTCCATTTCAACTGTTTTCGCAAAGAATAAGAAATTTTACAATTCAATTAATTTTAATTTAACATTTTTCTTTCTTTCCTTTCATTGCAGATAAAACAAATAAAAACTTCATTACGCACATTTTGTAGGAAACAGAACAATTTTTTTTTATTCATTCGTGTGTAAGCTTCAACATTGAAGGCAAAAGGAAATCTCTTTTTATTCTGTGTGCAAATAACACAGTCATTGAGAAAAGAGGAAGAAAAATTTAATAAAAAAAAATAATAACAAAAGTAGAAGATTAAAGTTTTCCTTTTCTTCCATTTTCCTCGTCGTGTAAATGTTTTGTATACACAATCCTATAAAGAATTAAGTAGCAGGAATCGGAAGAGAAACTTTGTGTATCATAAATAACCTTTAGTGTTGCTTAGAGAAGCGACTTATATACGTATACTTTTATTTTTCATCATTATCATCATCAACAGGATCATGGAAAGTGTCAAAAGAAAAAAATAAAAAAAAAGTAAAAGTGTTGTATATCCATAAAGTTGTATAGTGGAGAAAAAGAGAGGAAAAAAAGTGCTAAGAGCAAAAGTAAATAAGTAAATATGGCTGTTAGTAATATAGTTTGTGAGTGGCTGAAAGCCCTTGGTCTATCATCCTATGCTCAAAGTTTTCTCGATAACGGCTATGACGATTTAGAAATTTGTAAGCAAGTCGGTGATCCGGATCTTGATGCAATCGGTGTACAAAATCCAACACATCGTCATAAGTTATTAAAAAGTGTACGACTGTTACGTGAGAAAGGCGCAGCTAGTGTATATTTTCAAATCAATGATCCTTCATTAATCGATACGGACGGATTAGAACGTGACGATTCACCCATTTTATTTACTGAATTAGATCGTTTAATAATAGAACAGTTAGAAACCGATGGAGTTTGTCTCACAGCACATCCATACTCAAGTCCGGTAAGTAAATGATGATAAGATAATGGTCAGATTTTTTACGTAAATAAGCATCAGACATGACATTTCAGTGCCTTAAAAATGATGGATGAGAAAATTTCTCCTTTCCTTCCTTCCGATTTCTTTCTTTTTATTGCCTTCTTTCCTTTGGCGTAAGATACTCTGTTGAGGAAGCTCAAAGCCATACTGAGAAAAAAAACGCAAGGAATAAGAGTTGTCGACTGTTTTGGGAAGGAAACAAAAAGAAGATTTGAATTCCATTAAAAAAGGTCCAAATGATGATGTTGTTTGACTTTTTTTGTTGTTGAGAAATTTCCCTTTTCATTTGACTTGATATTAAAATGAGTTTGAGTTATTTATTTACTATACAAAATTTCGGGATTTGTCTTAATAACTTGAACTTGAAAATAATGGAACTGAATGGAATTTGAATGGAAAGTATTTTAATTAGGAAAGGTTATTTGACTTTTAAGTAGAGTGAAAGACCTTGCGCTTAATACGAATGATAGAATTTATTCTCAGATTTTCAGTTGATTTGATTTAGTTTCCTGTAAAAGCTCACATAGCTAAGCAACTCAAATAACGCTTTTTATCATTCCTATTTCAATTAAGCTCATGGTTTAATTTTAAATATGAGTTCTAATTTCATTTGAATTTGAAAAATCTATGTTTGACTAGCCTTGCTGTTTTTGATAATTAATATTTCCTGTTGCGGTTTTTGACATTGAGCATTTTCTATCTGAAAATATCAAAATTATTTCATACAGAATTTAATATATTTGCATCATGTCTAATGCATATCCATACTGGTTTTAAAATAGGAATCTAGATTGATTGGAAATATGAGAATGACTTAAAAATTTATACGAAATTCAGATCAGTGCACATCGATGTTAAAATGAATAATCCGGAATTTAATGTTATCAAAAATCCTATGAAACTCAATTCCCTCAAAATTTGAAATTCTCATGCTCATGAGCAGCATAAAAATTGTTAAAACTCTAAAGGTGATAAAAATCAAAAGACTTCATCCACTTTTCATTAAAACCTCACTCCCTATTTTTTCAATTCGTAAAAAATAATAAAAAATTCTTCAAACAACAATCCCCGAAAAAGAAGCAAGAACCTCAATAAAATCCAGTTTTATGTAATACATAGATGGCACACACAAAAAATACATTGAAATTCATTGCTAATGCGATTACGAGACTCCTCGTTTTTTATTTATAAATGAGAGATGTAAATATTATTTCAATGAAGGAATCACGTTCGAATAGTAAAGACATGTAACATGTATGCATAAATCTCTGCATTATTGGTATCGTAAATTTGAGAATCTAAAGAAGTTGAAGACAACTTAAAAACATTCCTGTTTTTTTTTTGTTCTAAACCAGATGCCAGCATGTCTAAAGATTATAAAATGATAAAAAGAGATTTTTTTTATAGAGAGATAAAGGATAGTGAGCATGGCAATAAAAGAACTAAGAAGAAGAATACCAATCTGTTATATAAAATTGTTGTAATATTGGCTTTTTGCTGCTTTAACCTATAATATACAATAAAACAACAACGAGCTTACAATAACTTATAACAATAAACAGGCAAGCAAACAAGGCAAGACAAGACATGGAACAAAAAGAAATGAGAGAGAAAAGAAAAGGAATCAAATTACTTGACCTTCGATAATAATCAATTCATGATGGAATGGCTATATAAAAAAAATTGAACTTTCATTCTTTTTTTTGTACTAGTTCTACTCGACTGCCTGGCTTGTTGCCTTGTGTGCATCATATTGAATGTTGATCGTTGATTGCCTTTTTATGCAAATTTTTTCTTCCTTCTTCTCTACCTCTGTGTGCCTTCTCAATTTTACCTGAAATTAAATGTTCATGTTATTTATGTTATTGGTCGATCTATCGACATTTATTTCAGCTTTATGCCTGCTTTTTCATTCTCTCGATTTTTTACTCCTCATTGAGTTTGTTTTTATTTACTTGGAAATGGCTTAAGTGTGCATAATTCAGTGTCGATTTATACAAGTAATTTAGAGTGTACATGAACGAGGCTCATCTATAGAATTTATGCCCTAGCTTAACAAATGTTTTTTTTTATTGACGCACTATTTTGCATGCTTGTTTGTATCACATTCCAAATTTAACATCAATTGAGCAATTGAGACACAACTTTTAAATTAGAAGAAAAGCTTTTTGGGTTCCTATGAATTTTATCTTTATACAGTTAGAGAAATGACACACTTAATATGTGTCATGAAATTAATTCGACAAAACCTTAAATGAACTCATCATATCCAGCCAACAAAAAAGCATTAATTTAAAATTCAAATTAAAAAACAGTTAAAATTCACAAATAAAATCCTAATTCATATGCATCGTCATCACCAATTTCTATAAAATATTCCAAACACGACTTAACTCAATTCATCCAATTTTGATCTAAAAAGCCACACGCTTAAATGTTCAATGCATTTCCACTTTCATAAAAATGTTTTTTTAATCCCATATTAAAATAATCCCTCAATTTACCATCTCAAAATGTTTTATTTCTCTTTCCACATACATTTTTTAGTGTTATTATATTTTTCAATTCATTATGGAAAAAAATATATCCAATAAAAATGCACCATTGAATGCAGATACATTTGAGATTCCATGCACGTAATGCAGATTTATATGCTCACTTCAGAAGCCCGAAGAATTTCATTCTCATTCTGTCGCTCTCGTTCCTTTATACTCCTTTAAATGTGCATCGACACATTATTTCTGCTCATATAAATTTATTCATTTGACTTGTTGAAGTTAATTAAATGAAATAAAGTGAAAGATGCAAATAAAAGCGACGCAGAAAAATAAATAAAAATGATGATGATTGTTGCACTCTTGTTGGATTAAGTCATTTGCATAATTGCGGTTCATCATCATCAGCATCAGCACTAGTTTTTCACAATATAATCCACACTTATTCACTTAAAATTGTGAGTGCAATTTTAATTAGACGAAGACGATGTAGATGAGATCTCGCATAAACTTAGACTATGAGACGAGATAGTGCGGTCTCGATACATCGTGACTTGTAGCTACTCAACTATTCATTTATTCTCATTCATATGCATGATGTGGTTGTCGTTTAATGCTTTTCACTACAAATGGATATAGATGATGTTTTAAAATGGATATAAATTGCGGTTTTTGTGTATAGATGTTGAGGGCTTCTTGCAATCAATTCCCAACTCGTTTCGTCCAGTCTTTAAGATTTTTTTTCATGGATTATAATTTTTTATTTTGGTCTGTTAAATCACAAATTTTTTTAAGGTCTTGAAATTCCTCATTGCCACATGTGATCAACCCTCTTAGCTAAACAGTTCAACGTCATACAAAATTTGCTTTACTTCTAACTCAGCTAGCTTCAATTTCAATTAAAGATCCGAGCATGCTGAGAGAGCAATAGTCTTCTAGTACTAGCTGTATATTTTCATGCTTTAATAGATCTCAAGACCAAGAGTCGAGAGCTAGAAAGCAACAGAGGGAATGAAATGAAATGACAGATGATGATAAAATGCTTTTATATATTTATGTCGTTTCTGTGCTGATAAAAATCTTGAAAACTAGTCTAAACTGTCCATTAAATACTTTTATTTATTTCACTTACATCTCCTTTCATACTCTCTGTCTTTTGCCAACAACCACTTGATGTCGATCATTTCTATTTATTTATTTATTAAGAAGAAAATTTTCTCGGTTGTGACGAGAAACTTTGATGATGATAATGATGACCGAGACGGAGATGACGAAAAAAATGCTCCCATTCGCTAATTGAAGGATCATGAATAGCAAATTTCAAGCCACACAAAAAAATATCATGACATGTGCACTCATAGAATTATTTCAATTTACTTCCATCAATTTGATGGTTTAATGTCCGTAAGAAGATTTTTTTATATGTATTTATAATGGCTTTTAATAATAATTAATGTTCTCTTTCATATCCATTCGCTCTTTTTGTTTGAAAATTGAATAAATCTGCTTAAAAATTCTTTTTATTTTCAACTGATTAATATTGAGACTTGATATTAATATTGGTGCTTTGGCAATGCTTCTTTGAATTTTTGTAGCAAAAATTAATACGTAATTTATATTGTAAAACTTTTAAGCTTTTTGAGGAGGATTTTATGATGATAATATGCTTGAACTTTTCGGCACGTTTGATGGTGCGGTATTTACACGAAGAATTATTGTCAGAACTTGAAGATTGACTTTTTCATATCTAGGCAACAATAAGCTTTAAATTCTACTCTAAGTTGGAGATTCAGACGAAATTGAAAAGAGGTCTCTGAATGCCAGCAAGCATGTCATTCCTGACTGAAAAATTGACCTAGAAGTTTCAAAGTCTTCAAGGTCAAATCTGTACCACAACTGTGACGGAGTGCGGAGTTTTTAAACCCGTAAATAAATAAATTTAAATGAAACGAAGTGAGTTCTATTAATCTATAACTTCAATCTTTATTTCCTGCTCTATTTAAATTTATTTGTGGATTTTAAATAAATTGTCCTTTCTCCACGTCTCAAAAATGTTGTGTCAACTGATCAAATCAAATTGAGAGGGGTTTGCTACTGGGACAGAAATATTTAAATCTCCAAATTCCGTTATTAATTCAAATAATTTATTTAACGACTTTCCGTTAAATAAATATGTAACAGCAATTTGTTACATAGTCGGGGAGGGAAAGAAGAAAACTTTGTAATTTCCTTCAAATTCACATCGTTGCATCTCGTGCGACTCATTGATGACATAAATAATTTCGGTGATTTCCTTAGGGAGTCGTTTCTTAGCCTTGACTTTCTCGATGATTTTGATTCCTTTACTTTCTGCGTATTTTATTGAAATTTGATTATCCTTATTAAATTTCTCCATTAATTGCTTGAACTTAGCTGCTTTTTTGACTTCTTTGAATTCAATAAATGCTGTAGCAGACTCGTCACGATCCATATAAACGATGTTCGAAAAATCCGTTATGAACTTCATCACTCGCGAGTGAAATACTGTGAACGGGTAGCTACCTTTCATACGCATTTTT